TTCTGATTTCTTTTTGCAGTAGAATATTTTGTTTTAGTTCTGTGCTGTGTCTAATTTTGCGTTACGTGATCAGTTATACCAGACATACATGGCTTCCAGCATTTGAATTAGCCGTTGTAGACGGATTGCCAGATCTTATCGTTAGCGCCTCGACTCCTAATTCAACAAAATGTCTGGAAGCAGAGGAGACAGCATTTACCTGAGCATTGTTGACTCCGCTGAGTAAATTTTCAACAATCCGAAAACCGCAATTCGTCATTGCACCAAACCCAAGATCGACCCTGCTGCCGCTAGAATTACTGAGTCATCTTTTCCACGTAATCGCCCAGCTCTGTCATTTGGGTCCTTACCCAAAGTCGACACCAAGGCAACGTGGTCTCACACACCCAAGCCTAAGCCCCTCGTCAACAGAGCGGATAGTGAGCTGACTTCGGTTTTCAGAGCAAGTGATCTGCTCCTCAGATGTGGCGATGTAGCATTGTTTTACAGATATTCATGCCAAACGTAGCCTCCACCATCTGATTTATTTCAAGCAGTGACCAGGTTTTGTGCCGCAGACTTCAAACGGCCACAGTGACGATTCCTTTCCTTCTCTCTCTTACAACACATGACGAAATCTCTCCTCACAGCAACTTTTGTCCTAACACGAGGGCGAACTTCGCTCGTCTTTTTCACTTGCACCGAAAAAACCTCCACCCTCACGGCAAAAGTTATAAAACCAGGAGCGATGGGAAGGCGCTCTGCACAGCTCGCAACCGGTGCTAAAAGAGAGATTTAGGAGAGCGTACATACGCTGTCTTGCATTTGCGTTGCGCCTGCGTCGTATTATCACCTTTTGCGGGCTCCACAGAGTGACGAATGCCAACGTCATTCCTGCAAGTTTTGCGCACACTATTCAAAAATTCCCTAAATCTCCGGACAGTGCGCAGGGCGAGAGAGGTCACCGAGACACAAAGGTATCCGACAATCTAGATCGGCCACAGGGCCCTTCGTCGTCCTGCTTTCTCCACCTCCCCCCCCCTCACACAATTCTTTCGGAAATCACCAAACTTGCTTATCTGCCTACATGCCCCTGAGGCTAGCTTTATGACGACGAAGAGTGGGTTGGAGCCTTCGACGACCCAATAACAAAGCCACTGCTCTAGAAGCCAACCGACAACGAACTCGTAACGCTGATTCCGGTTGTGTGACGCCTTGTTGTTCTTTTGCTCTTTTAAAACGTGTTATTATAGTCACATTAACGCGATTCGTTTCTCTACATGAACCCTGCCTAAGGTCGGTTTGCAACGAATCTTCAAGCTACCGGCGTAGCTTACTGGTAGTAGTGCTGCGTTAGCAAGCAGAGGCACCTGGATTTGAGTCCTAGTCTGCCTTTGGTGTTTTTCATTTACTTCGTTTTTTTCTGATATCGTGCGTTAGTGGTTACGAACACCGGCGGAGGACAGTTACGGTCCTTGTTGTGATTTCACAACTGCTATCGCTTTATAGTAGGGAGAGAGTATTGCGCTGTGTGGTACAACGAGAGAAAGCAGTAGGTGAGGCGTGCAGATGCCAAGCTTCGCTGGGCCCAATTTTGCCGATTGGCCGATTTCGTTCATTGAATGACCAATGTAGGGTCTAGATTAGGTACACCTTGCTTGAGCGCACGTACCACCCTACCTTCCGCATCTCTGTTTCTATTTGTTCTTTCTATATGTGTCCACAATTTTTATAAGCACAAAATTTAGCACACAGTGCATAGGGTATTCGGAATGGATGTTTTTGGTACCACTTGTGGATCAATACGAGTGATGAGGAATTCCTTTGCAGTTAGAGGGAACGGGTGATGGGTTTAAACAATTAACGCAACATGCCAGTATGAATTGGTTACTTTCAGTTTTACGTTGCAAAGAATGGACATACTAAAATGCCTCGCCACTTCAGTCCCATGGCTCGTCATAAGCTGCAATCTGCAGCCACACTCAACCAGTGTTGCCGCGACACAAAAAAGGCACAACTTTGCCGCAAAGGCGAAGCAATGAAAGTGATAGTAACAAATTGGAAGATCACGCGCAGAATTGCAAGCAGATTGAAACGTGCCCTGCGTTTCTCACGCACTAATGACGCATAAAACGTACTCACAGGTACAGATGCACGTGAATAAGCGTCTCAGTTGCTACTTCGCTGTGTCTGAAAAGCATGCCCTTTCCGCAAATGAAGCCCCGCCATGGTGGTCTAGTGGCTAAGGTACTCGGCTGCTGACCCGCAGGTCACGGGATCGAATCCCGGTTGCAGCGGCTGCATTTCAGATGGAGGCGGAAATGATGTAGGCCCGTGTGCTCAGACTTGACGCATGTTAAAAAACCCCAGGTGGTCGAAATTTCCGGAGCCCTCCACTACGGCGTCTCTCATAATCATATGATGGTTTTGGGATGTTAAACCCCACATATAAATCAATTATCGCAAATGAAGACTGTGCAACGAGTGCAGTGACCTTTGTGCGCCCGCCATCTACAACAGAATTGTTCCAGCAAAAGCCAAAATGCGTATTATTGTCCCCACCATGAGATAGGCAAGCGCATGCGTCCCCACCCCGCAGGGACAAGGTACGCGTGGGAGATGAGAGCGCGCGCTGCCGCGTCGTGACGATCTGGCGATGCGGAACGCGTGCTCATTGCGCCATCTCACTGGTAATGCTGAAAACACGATAGTTCGCCCCGAGATGACCATCACCAGCGGTAAGTGGTAGATAAAAAAAGATTGCCGTTCACAGGTTGAAAAAAGTGCTCTTCTGTGGCTCAGTGGTTGACGCCTCACACTCACAATTCAGTGGTCGAACGTTCAATTCCACGCGCCGGAGTCCCTTTCTGTATTATTTTTTTCTTGCATTCTCATATAAATAGATACATACGCATATACGGCGAATGATGGTGATGCTGACGCCAGCGGCAGAATCCAGCCTAAATTGTCTATATAATTGCTGTCGGAATAATAAATGTGGTAGAGATTTTTCTCATGGGATATCAGTGGAAACCAGTAGATTTAAATTTTAATATTTGCGCTCAGCTCTTCAATCGCAAGTCAGCACTGATATAGGTAATCAACCAAGTAGTACTACAGTTTTCACGAAGTAGCAAAAGTGCTGACTGTATGATTACTAGTATGCCGAAGGTGTCCACCCAGCACAAGTCAAGACTCTGAGAAAATATACGAAGGTTTCTGATGGCGCTGCACACACTGACGCTTTAGAGTTTCAGCCATGAAAACAGACACCTTCTGAACAAGACTAGCATAGTTAGAGTTTGGCAGTTTCATTTCCAAGTACGGGCGGGCACAAGATGTTTCCGAGAGAGTATCAGCTCATGGAGTGCACGGTGAGCAATGGAAGCCCCTAACAGATCCTTTTATTGGAAGTACACAATAAAACGTTAAGCGGGCACGAGGTGGTTGTGCGCATTCATCCGCTCTCTTGATTTTCGTTCACAAGTGTTTTGTCATAAGTTATTCAATTAGTATGCACGTTAAAGAGCCCCAAGTGGTGAAAAAATCTGGAGCCCTCCACCACTGCATTTCTCATATGCTTGTCGTAGTTTTTGAATGTTAAATGTCAAGAATTATCACGTTAAAATGATTTAATTGCCTAATCTTTGTCTTACGTCCTTGGACGCTATTTCTTTCAGAAGTATGTACCACGTGTCCAATGTCTCCATCGTGTCGAAATGTTTTCCCATTGAAAAGTTTTGCGACTAGAATGATGTTCTGCCGCTACGCCCAATCACCCCTCCACATTCCAGGAAGAGTGCCTCTGAGCCATAAAAGTTTTCGAAAAAGCACTGTCTGTATGCCATGCCTATGAGAAAGTTTTGTTTATTTTGTATACTACAAAAATAAAGAAGTAGAAGAGCCGAAGAGCCAGAGAATGTAGCATGCAAAAAATAAAATTTGTTCCGGTAGTCTATAGCTAAGGTCGAAAGCTGCTTGTTTGCAAACTTTGCTTACCCATGTGCAGGGAAATTCTTGCGAAGCGTCAGCGTGGTTCATTCCAAAGAAATTGAGAGTGGCTTTTTTGCAAAAATACTTCACACACGCAAATGCTCGCTCAGAGGCTCTTTAGTGCTCTGAACTTGCTTAGTGCTTGTCCACGCCTCCACATTCCAGCAAAGTAGCGGACTGCGAAAGAGAGAAAGAACAACAAGAAGAGGCATGGACCCATGCTGATAGGAAGAATTTTTTTTTCGGATATTCTGTTGGGCAAGCTGCTAGTTTGGAAAACACACTCACTCACGCATTCCAAGAAATTATTTTGATGTGCAACTTGAGCGAGCTGATTATTTCTCCCTTCTCTTGCCCGCCACCACACGGCACTTCGTCTAATCAAACTAGGCGCTGAAAAACTAACAGCTTGTGCGATCGTTTCCGCAGAAAATACCGTAAGTTGGTAGATACGGACGCTTTATCACTGAATCAGCCGATAATTTAAAAAAATGAGTAGATCTACTGATTGATCAGCAACTGTGGAACAGTGCATTCAATCCGTTGCTAGACATGTTTCCTTTTCAAATACGCGAGCCTACAAAAATGATGCTCCCGTGCATATGTCGAAGAAAACTACAAAACAAGCTTTACAACCATTTTACGTAGAAGCCGAAGCATACGTTAGCTTCGTGTCAATATCATGTTGCTATGCAGTACAACATACTAAAGAACAGAAGGAACCACTCTCGCAGAACAGTGCGGCAACTTGTACAGAGAAAAGGGAGTGATTTATAGCCAACATTGAGAACTTCCAGACTACGTGGTGCACTGCAATGTCCATTGAGGATGGGCTTCACGGGTCCCGTAAATGCCTCTGCGGATCCCTCAGTTGCCGCGGACCCCCACTTAGGACCACTGCCTTCGTGTCTCTCTATTCTCTTTACTGTGTCTCTTTTTTTTCAGAATTCTAATTCACGGCCTTTTAATAGTACTCACCAGAATAACTCAAACAACTACACTTCTTCGCAACTACCAATTGATTGCAGATATAAGCAACACCTCGGATCGCAAGCTGTGATCTACCCAGCACTGGTCACGGAATGGCAGACCACATCATCACTCTCTTGTGTACTGTCGCAGTTGCATTCGTAACGGCGCAGTCGATACCAGTTGTGAGACCATCCATCGAACAGGCTGAGCAGCGTGTGCGAGAACTGACCCAGTTACTCAGTGACATCAAAGGTATGTTGTTCTCATTTGTTATACATTAAGGGTGACGAATAATTGGTGCCATGCTTGGTATTAATGAGCACGAGGTGAGTTACGGAAAGAAAATAAGCATAGGAAGGCTTGAGAATGCTCGTATTTGTTGTATGGCACAAGGTACAGCACCATGGAGTTATAAGCTTGGGTTAAGAATGTGAAGTCAAAGGATAACGTTGGCCTTAGTTGGGCACTTGTACGTGAGACCATGTAAGATCATGCTGGGCATTTGCTTGACAAGCCAACGTCATCAGCAATATGGAACGTATAAGGTATATTTGGTATAAAATTAACTAAAAAGACGTACAAATGGCTGAACGAAACAGAAGAAGAACCTAGGGAAGTCACCCCGAAATGTTATGGTAAACATATCAAGAGTTGTTCATTTTTTTGCCGGATTTGTGCCGTTCACCGAAAGCTATGTTACCGATGTAAGAACGTTGCCGTAGTCAGATATTTCAGTTGATCCAAGCCATTTTCAATAATTCTCAGTGATTCTCAATAATTTCCTGAGACTTGGTGAAGATAGCTTAATCGTTATTGAATACTTCTATTTTGACGTATCTATCCGCAAGGTACTTGATCCATTTGAAGATTTTTCTGACTATCGTTAAAGACTCATTGTGAATCATGCTCAGTAATTGCCAATGATCAGTCATTCTCAGTGAATTTGATACATGTGTAGTCGTTATTAATGTTGCCACACCGCTGGTACCCACTTCGCATTTAGTTTGGTCACACGCATCTTTTTCTGAGTTTATTAATTAATTATAGATGGTCAACTCCTAGTTGCAGGAAGTAATTTAACATAGCCCTCACTACATGCGTTGTCCCTTGGTTTTCATTTTTTAATCTACTCATATTGTTGGCCTATCGGCCATTGCAGGATAGATCGAAAGCAGTAATTTTTATATCAGTGCATCTTATAAATGTTATTCAATAGATTGCAGAGCCCTATCTAATACCACCCTCATCGCCAACATCGAGTATATTAAGTATCATTGCACACGTGATAACTTGGTAACTCGTTTCTTTGGACTCGTGACTTCATTTTCTTGATATGTACAGCTGCCGTTCAACCTCGCCACTGCACCGACATCTTGCATGCTGGCCAGCAGTCAAGTGGAGTGTACAACGTATTCCACAAGGCCGCTGGACCTCAGGGACAGAGGGTGTACTGCGATATGGACACAGATGGTGGAGGCTGGACGGTGAGTATTACCAACGATGAAACTGTATTAACCAGAAAGCACCACAACGACATAACATGAAGATTACAGAACACAACATCATGTATACAAGAAGCACGGATTGATTCGTTGGCAGCCGTAGTGCATAACGTAACAAATTTAGGAGGTTCTTGCTCGTTTGCCCTAACAGATAATGTGCTGGTCGTATCTAATTTCAGTATGAAAGTTATCAGTTGTCTTGTCCTGGAATTAAAAACAAAGACTATTAAGTACTGACCCGACCAGCTTCAGTGCTATTAAACTACCTTGATTTTGCTTGATGAAAATGACCTGAAACCAATTTTAAAGCAATATACATGATAGAGCGCTATTATGCATATCGGCAGTTGACATGCTTATAAGTGTCACAATACCTAGTTTTGTTTCGAGACATAACAAAGTTAGGAATACGTGACACGCGCACCAATAATCAGGTCGTCAATAATATATGTGAGTTCACTCGCATTGTCCGTTCGTTGGTACATGCACCACTCACACGTATTTATTACAGTAATAAATATTTCTTTCGTTGCAGCAGAAGATCTGCAGCGGAGGGGGGGGGGGCGGGGGAAGGGCAAAATTTTTTGGCCACGCTTTCATAGGAATACACGTGAGAGTGGCCTAGGATAATTTGATAAACTATATATGTCCTGGTTCATCATCGTCATCATCAGCTGGGCTAAGCCCAGTGCAGGGCAAAGGCCTCTCCCGTGATGCGTCAATCAACCCAGTCTTGTGCTTTCTGCTGCCACGTTATTCCTACAAGCTTCTTTTTTTCATTGGCCCACGTAATACCTAATTCATTATAAGTGGAAGAAAAGTAATTCAGGTAAACAGTATTTTATTTCTGGAAAATGATAATTATGGGACCTTAGACGTCTGCCCTAACTGTGCACAAAGCGACTAAAGCGCTCCCACATTACTTGAAGACAACAAACCTGAGCGACCGCCTGTAGATGGTGTGTGCTCCCCCAAGTGTGCTTGTGATTGTATGTTCCTTTCTTCGATCTCTCCAACCTCTTTTCTCCCCTTCATTAATTACCCAGTGCAGGGTAGCAAACCGGACGTGCGTCTGGTTAACCTCCCTGCCTTTCCTGCATCTCCATCTCTCTCTCTTTCTCGGGATAGCAAACTTGATCGTATGCACAAGTACTAGAAACTGATAGAGGTGAACTAGGGAAACGCGAGATCACTTGTACTCAGTAAACTTTAAAAAAGGCGATGTGGTTGAAATCGAACTACAAAGGTCAGCGCTACGCCATTCTTCAGCGCAAAACTCCAAAAAATATTCCAAGTAGTGAATTTTGTTGCAGGTACGAAAGGCTACCTAGGAAATATTAACTTTATATGAAGCGTGTAAACTCATGAATCGTGTCGTGAAGGAATATCAAGTCTATGTAAAGTGAACGTAACTCAATGTAGCAACGAGAAAATGCGTTTTCCTTTCGATGCGGAATCAAGGTAAAGAATTGTTCCACAGATGGATGCATAAATTTTAAGGCGGTCCTTTGGAACGTGTTTAAGCACGTTGTCGGCCGTTACCACGTCCGAACAGAAGAACCAAGTTTATCTGCTCTGTCGCGTGCCTATTGGACTGACCATAACTGCCTTACAAATTCGGAGCTGGTAATGACCCCCTCCCATTTGTACGGCGTTATGACTTCTCCGCCCGTTCTGTTTTTATGGCAAGTTTCGTAACCATCAGGTTGAAGGATCCCTTCAATTCCATCCTCATACTTAGAATCCGGGGAGGGCACACCCTGGGAATGAATCAGTCCTCACCTGTCTTAAGACTACTGCTGACGTCCTCGATAGGGTTGCCACCTTTCATCTTGGGGCTTTGATAAACATCCGTGACCATAATAGCTTCCGGTAGCATACCCCTTATTTGTTAATCGCGGCCTATAGTTGCCTATGTGGTGAGGTCATCTGCATAGGCAAGTGAATAATGCCATATACTTCGGATTGCATTTCAAAGAAACAAAACGAGGTTGAGTTAAAGAGGGTCAGATCTAAGAGTCGCCCTTTTGGTGTCCCTTTGAAACCAAGCCTCATTGGGTCCGAAGCGAGGTTGCTCATCTTGAGGACAGCTTCTCGGCTCGTTAGGAATAAATTTGGGTAGCCCTGAAAGCGCTTGCCAAGCCCGAGACACGAGATCTGCCTCAGCACGAAAGGATGGAGAACGTTGCTGAATGCCCTCTGCCCAATTCTAGTACGGCTCTTATGTGATCTATGTTGAGATCAATAACTTGGCCTTCAGTGAGATTCATGGCATCTACCTCCCTTGAAGCCTCTCTTGTTGTGGGCGTAATAGTTGCGGTCCTTCGGATGACGAATATTCCTTTTCAGTATGGTGTGTTCGGCCCACCTTACTCACGCACAAGATGGGCCGAAGGTTGTCAAAGGTGGCAGGTTTGTCCGGTCTGGGGATGAGAATATTGGTTATTGTCTTCGAAATTTCCCAGACACTGCCACTCTCCATGCCCGGTTGAAGAAAATCTTCAGGTATTGCACCAGCTTGTCATCCAAGTTCCACAAGACCTCGTTCGTGACCTTATCTTCGCCAGGGCCGACTTGCGACTTAAGTGGCACAATGCTTGCCTGATTTCCTCGCTTCTAATTTCCGCACCCATTTCTGAGTTGGCGCGTCCTCTGTTGTAGAAGACGGGGTATGCAGGATGGAGGCGATTGGTATGTACTTCCCAGCCAGGTCTCCCAGACCCTGATTGTTTCGCCCGGAATTTCCACCCTGCTGCGTAAAGTGTGCGAGTCAGCCTACATCTCTAGTCCTACCTGAGTAGCTCTTATTCAACAGATGCTTTGATATTCTAAGGAACTGCCCTCCGCATGGGCTCGTTGATAGAATTTTAGACCTTGTCCAATTCTGCTTAGAAGAAACTTTACCGCATTCCTCAAAGCTTCAGTCGACTTCGGAGATCTTACGAAGCGTGCGTTTGAGATGCTGCCCGATTCTCCCGGAGGGGAGGAACTGTTTGGTCACGAGATTATAAGACAGCACGCTGTGCATACTTTTTTTGAAGGGGAGGTACTCAGTGACATCTCTAAAGGTAGGTTGGATGTCCTTGCCGATATGTGCCGTCTGGCGTTCAAGGGCGAACTTTCTTCGTCCTCAGACCATTCATCTCTTGGATTGCAAAGCTTGTCCCAGTCGGTCACTTGGAACCTGTACCGTCTTGCATGCCTAATTCACAGGACAGTATCCAGGAGATAGTGTGCATTGCCAAACTCTACGTTGAGGTTGGTCCCATAGATTTCCCCCACGTTTTGGACAAAAGTGAGGCCCGATGTGATGTCCCGGCTGGACAAACTGCCACATCTTGTGGGGAAAGCAGGATTACATACTAGCATAAGTTAGTCGCCTCCCTCCAGATATCTGCGTCCTTGTGAGTGTCGTGTGGGTAGCCGCAAATGTGATAAAAAGCGTTAGAGTTAGCCGATATATTTAGAACTTGTGTCTCTTAGCCAGCGGAGCGCAAGACACACAAAAGAAACAAACACGTAAACAGGACGGCTGCTAGATGTCAACTGAAAATTTGCTGACTTAAAGCGATGCAAATGTACAGGCACGCCCAGTATCCACAAAGAGTGCATACAGAACTGTTAGCGCTGATGTCTGCAATGACGCTTCAGACACGCTGTTTATTTCACTTACAACCTATATAGGGAAGGCGCACGGACGCATTTATCAGTTTTTAATAGTGAGGAAGTATGTCTGATGTATTTCACCACATTGCTGAGCAGTAAAACTGCACAACAAATGGAGGAACGCCCTTAACGTCAAGCGTCCAAAAACACCTTCGGCAGTTATATTGTTGATCACCACGTTATGGACTGCTTAGAAAGCGTAGGTGCATATTCCTTGCAGACCCTATGTACACGCCTGTGTATACCACTCGTTTTCGTTACTTGTATCAAGTTGAGGCCAAGAAAGAGCAAAATATATCGTACATTAGATGAATCGAAGCTCCTCCAGGAATCATTTGTCTTCATTTAATCTTATTTTGCGTTGTAGTGATACATGCAACTTTTTTGAAGGCACTACCACGTTAGACGAGTCGTGCAACGTGCCGCTTCCTGCAAGAAATGTGAAAAGCAGAAATTTTTTCGCTCACATTTGAAATAACGAAAAATAAATTTGCACTTTATTTCTAGCCTGGGTTTAGATTCAATTTATGCCAAATGTAAGCATCAATGACTTAAGGACAAAGGGATATTAATTGCAACCTAATTAGAACGAGCTACAATAACACACACAGATTAAACAATTATCTCGTTATTTTTGCTGCAATATAATATTGAGTGCCTTGAAGTAACATTGTAGTGATTTGACACATTTATATACAGTTCCTAGTAGTTGGCGTCTGAAAGGGATATACAAAAATATTCACGTACTAGGCTGGAAACGCTTTAGGCAAACGACAGCCTAAAAACCTTCGAGATTTTGAATATCTTCGCCTTGAAAAGAAACAGATTAACAATACTGTATTGACGCTGAGTGAAACGATGAGGCTGGCACCTTCTGTAACATGGTGTGTCAATATGGCTATAAACAGACGAGTCACTTCTATATTTGCCTTCATTTCATTGTATTCGTTATTTTCAGGTGATTCAGAGGAGAGGCCAATTCGGAAACAGCGTCTACCACTTCTACAGAAACTGGGACGAGTACGCTGATGGCTTCGGAAACGCAAGCGAGGAATACTGGATTGGTAAAGTGTACTTGAAGATTTTGAACATGTTTGACGCAATTTCTAGGAACCCCTTTTTTAGGTAAAGTGAAGTTACTAACAAATGATAACAACTGTGCATGTAGGATCTCCTAAGCGTACGGGTGGGCAACAACAACAGAAAAGAGAAAGGACTAATGACATCGCAAAATAGCTCAATAACAATCAAGAGTAGTAAGCAACGAACGTTACAACCGTGGGAATTTCGGAATTCACGTAATACTGGGATATACTGAACGTATATGCATCACAGAGATGTCTCCGCTATCCCAATACCGCGATAAATTTGAATGGCTGCTGGCAATGCATACCATTTGTGGGAGAAAATAGCGCCAATGTAAGAGGCGGATTTTTCATCAATAACGGGTGTCAGAACTGCCAAGTACACGTTTATATCTGCCTTCATCTGTTCCACGCAGGAAACAAGGCGCTACACGCTCTGACCTCGGACGACGATACGTTCACACTGCGCGTCGTGCTGAGCAACAGAACTGGCGAGAGCGCATTCATCGACTACGAGAGCTTTCGCGTTGGAAACGAAGAGAACCTCTTCAAACTGCAACTGGGAAAGATCCTGGGACCAGAAGGTAACACCGCTGTGCTTAACGAGCACGTTTCTGTTAGAATGTTTCTTTGAGCAGGATACTTTGCATCTCACTGCGAGTTTATCGATAATGTCAGCTTCGTGTACCGTTCTAAAGCGCATTGCGCATGTGCTATATTCAAAAACCACACAACAGCAAGTTGCAGACTAAGTGCAAAGGCCGTCTGATTACCAATCCCGGCAGCCGCTTTTCGGTCAGTATGAAATACCGAGAACATTAGTGAACTTAGATTTAGGTGCACTTTAACGAAGCCCATGCCGTCGAAATCAATCCTAACTCTCCCACCACGGCGTGCCTCATAGCCATGTGACTAAGATGTCACGTGGTCTTGAAGAACGCAGAATCCTCAGTGTTTAAGTCTGCCGTTAATAATAATGCTCTAAAACTTTCATGAGAAATGTTTTAATGTTATATTTTTCATGTCACACAAATTAAGACGAATTAGACATATTCTAATAATGTAGTATATTTTTGTAGCTCACTGGTTAAGGCCTTTGGCGCTAAGGGCTCTTGGTTCAAACTCCAGGAACGCAGAAAAAATATTTGTTTGTACACTTATTTCTTTATAGCGGCGGTAGACTCACACGACGGGCACACGGACGTACAGCGTTCTCGTCTAGTCGGCCAAGACATACGTACGCGTTCTAGACGGATTGCATAATAGAAGCTCCAACAACACCTCGCCTACAAAAGCCGATAGCTTGCGCAACCTTTCTCGCAAAAACATGCTTGTTTCAAATGAACAAGTGATTTTGCTGCAGTTCAATCGCAAGGTTACAGTTATAAAAAGAAAGATGTCGGTTTTCTTCACAGAAACATTACGTCGAGTTGATTGATTGATTAATTGATTGGTTTGTGGGGTTTAACGTCCCAAAACCACCATATGATTATGAGAGACGCCGTAGTGGAGGGCTCCGGAAATTTTGACTACCTGGGTTTCTTTAACGTGCACCCAAATCTGAGCACACGGGCCTACAACATTTCCGCCTCCATCGGAAATGCAGCCGCCGCAGCCGGGATCTGAACCCGCGCCCTGCGGGTCAGCAGCCGAGTACCTTAGCCTCTAGACCACCACGGCGGGTCTTACGTCGAGTTGAGTATTGATGAAAGAAAGCGTTAGCACAAAGATATGCGTTGCGCTGTGTCTGTGAAAAGAGAATTGCCATACTAACGCAACAGTGTGAGAGAAAGGGTTTCGCACAACTGCGTCACTGCAAAGCGTCACTGCATACGTCACTGCAAAGCGTATAAAATATAACCGACGCAAATACGACATTTCAACTGCTGCTCGCATCATGATTTGTTTTATTGCCTTTTTATCCAGGGTGGGACGCGCTTTCCAATGGAAACGGCCAGAATTTCTCTACTTTCGACAAGGACAACGATGTGGCGCCATCTGAAAACTGCGCCATGCGGTACCGCGGTGGTTGGTGGTACAAAAACTGTCATCTTGCCAACTTAAACGGCCTTAACCTGAATGGTCCGCACGACAGCTTCGCAGACGGCATCGAGTGGAGCCTACGCGGTTACCCGGCCCGCCTGTATCACTACTCATTCCCAAGCGTGAGCATGATGATACGACCCAGTGGATCACTTATAGATCGCCGAAGCAGGCTGGTGTCTCCGCCTATCGTTTGACCTAGGCCAATAAATGTCGAACGAGAACGTTCCCTTTGCGTGCATTCATTTAGACCTCTGCTGATGACACCCAATTCCCATATGCGGTTGATCTCTGCCGTTTCAAGGCCGGAAGGAGGACGACTCGCGCTTCCGCGCTTCTGCGGTACGCGCATGCGCGTGAGGTATAGTCGTGTTTTGTAGATGCTGCACAGTACGACGGTGACTCCAATCGCTTTGTTGCTAACGTTGTGGACCTAAAGGGACGCGTATTATCAACCGCGTCATTCAGCACGTCGTTGGCTTGTAAGGCAGAGCAACTGGCCATTGCACTGGCAATCTTCAGGCCGGACAGAGAAGAGACATTTGCAAACTCGAGATCAGCCCTTCGAGCTTTCTCAACTGGGGCTGTTTGTGAGGAAGTTACTAGGGCACTTGAGGGTAAGGTGCTTACTCATCACGTCATTACATGGTTCCCGGCGCACGAAGGCGCCGAGGTAGGGGGGTTGGCCAACGTTAATGAGTTGGCCCATGCGCAGGCGCGAGGTCTTGCCGGCCGCGCCGGGCACTGGGAAGCCGGTGTGCCGGTTGGGACCAGCGACGGGCTTGGTCCGACCCTTTCGGAAACTGACCCACCCCGCTTCAGGCACATTCTCTCCACCTTTAACGAAATCACTAGCCACTACCAGATGAGCCGCAGTACTTTCCCCTTGCCACATCGAAATCTCACGAGGCCCCAGGCCGTGACTCTCAGGCTTCTGCAAACAAGTCGTATTCCACACTCTCCGTCTTCAGTAGGTACACAGAGGTCTCCCCTCTGTGTCCCGACTGTGGGGCGGTTAGCGACTTTAAGCACATGCTCTGGGCGTGCCCAACTTTGCAGCACCACACAATCCATGGCTTGACGGAGGAAGCCTTCTCTGCTTTCCTCACGAGCAACGACTGGTTTGACCAACTCCGGGCTGTCCAGAAGGCCCCCGATGCGGCGGTTAGGCTTGGCCTCTCTGTCCCAACGTGGGAGCGGCCAGCAGTCTTGCCCCTATAAAAACAGGGTGAAGATTCTTCCGGACCCGAATAAAGTTATCTATCTATCTATCTATCTATCTATCTATCTATCTATCTATCTATCTATCTATCTATCTATCTATCTATCTATCTATCTATCTATCTATCTATCTATCTATCTATCTATCTATCTATCTATCTATCTATCTATCTATCTATCTATCTATCTATCTATCTATCTATCTATCTATCTATCTATCTATCTATCTATCTATCTATCTATCTATCTATCTATCTATCTATCTATCTATCTATCTATCTATCTATCTATCTATCTATCTATCTATCTATCTATCTATCTATCTATCTATCTATCTATCTATCTATCTATCTATCTATCTATCTATCTATCTATCTATCTATCTATCTATCTATCTATCTATCTATCTATCTATCTATCTATCTATCTATCTATCTATCTATCTATCTATCTATCTATCTATCTATCTATCTATTTATCTATCTATCTATCTATCTATCTATCTATCTACTGATGACAGCAAAATCATGTCACAAAAATCTTTACTTGGGATATATCGTTAAGCTACGAAAATTGCGTAGATGGCGCGCCATTTTAGTCATTCAGGAGTAGCCTAAGTAATCAGAAATTCTAGCATCCATCGAGTTACTGGTCCTCGGGTGCATGTCTTTTGCTTAAACACAACGCCGAAAGCTAATAACGATGTTGTGGTTCATTAAATCTAAAAATGCAGTAAATTTCGAGACCTCTTTCAGAGTGTTATGAGTCTTATGACACATAACTCAATGGGTAAATGAATAAATGCACCTGGCTTCGGCGGCTTTATTTTCAATGAAGGCGAAAATGTTTGAGGTCCGTGTACATAGATTTAGGTGCATGATAAAGAACCCCAACGGTCGGAATTTCCGGAGCCCTCCACTACGGCGTTTATCATAGACGTATCATGGTTTGTGGACGTTAAATCCCAGATAATAATAATATTTAAATACAAATCTATGTCTAAACCACGTTTCGCATTCATGCACCATGTGGCAAAAATTCAATAGTCTTATGGCATGCGCATTCCCGCGACCGCCAAAAGGCGCACTTGGTGTCAAATATCGTGAAAGGAGTAATTCATTGATGTTCAATATCTTATCTGTTTTGCATCATTCCTACAGGTGGCTTATTATCCACTTCTACACATTTTTACGAGGCATTTGTAGAAAGCGTTCTCTGACTTCGTTTGTTTTCCACCGTGAGTGCAACGCATGGTTTCACATTTTGGAATCGTTAATGTCTAGCCCTATGATAAAGAAGAAAAGGCGGTTGTGTTGTACAGGGGTTAAGAAATCCTGATTGTAGGAGCCTGTGTTATAACACTTACATGGGAAGAAATTTTTATGAGATGATTTCTATCTTGATGGCAAAGATACGCTACAAAAGGTCTGATAAAAATTGACGACTTGGCGTATTGGTGCATCAAGATTTGAAGTCTAAGGCGCGATGGTGACAGAGGACAAAGACAATTTCATACATACCCAGAGCGCCATTTCTAACAATATTTATTCATAAAGAAGGACCAATGTGTGTACACAACACGTGCTATCACAGATCATGAACGCGTAGTCACGTTTGAGTAAAGCAACGCTTTTGGTAATAGTTATTACACGCTCACACTTCAACGACTAAGCTTGAATGTTTAATCTCACTGACTTATTTTCGTTATATTTACCGCAATACCTGGGACGCTCTCCGCACCTCGCCTTGTGGCGATGGCAGCCGTGACTTCTACAGGCCCGCGTGGCCAAATGTCGGCACCTTCAAGCTCTTCTGTGGCTCAACGTTCATGGCCCCACATCAGCGACGGCTCAAGAGATGCCCCCGCTCTCGTGCCCATGGACAAACAGCCGACTGCCGGCCCGTCTGCCTACACCTGAAGCTGATATGAAGCACTGATGCTCGTGAGGATGCTGGCCCTGTGCACTGCTACATAAATAAACTTCAGCGCATGGCAACTAACCACAAATAATGCTAACCCGACGTGACGACTGTATAAATGACAACATGTGTAATGTTTATAAAATCAGGTAGGCAGCACTGAAACCACTATTGAGGTTTAACGAAGATTACGGTCCATTTAAAAAGTAGTTCCGTGAACAGGCGTAGATCTGTGGTGAAATGCTTCATTACGACGCAGAATACTTGGGTTCGATTCCAGCCGGGACCCTGACATTTATTATTGGCATTCGTCGGGTCAAAGCTACCGATGTCGGGTATTTTTTAACGCTCACACTTTCAAACTGCCCATGTGTGTTCTCGTTGCTCCTGGGTAGATACCATGTGTCAACCACATGTGGCACATACCCGCATACTAGCGGCACACACCCGCCCATGGGTATGTGCCACTGTTTAGCGGGAAGTGTTAGACGACGTACGCGACGGGATTGCGACATTATTCATGTCTTGACTAGTGCGTCATATTCGTCGAACCATCTTACTATCCATGCTAGTTTTGGTTCACGCCAAGTTAAGGGGGTGAGCACGAGAGCACCCAAACCTAAGAGGCTAGATAGACAGATAGATAGATAGATAGATAGATAGATAGATAGATAGATAGATAGATAGATAGATAGATAGATAGGCTTCGCATTCAAAATTGACGTGCTGTTGGCCGTTTCAATACCAGTCGTGGCCGGTACCATGATCACAAATAATTAAAACATTCTTGTGGTCTACGTTACTAATCAGCAGCAATAACACGGATGGTGCCTCAAAATAGAAAAAAACAGCAACTCGAAAAATTGCTTCTGGACACTACAGATGATATATTTTTTATGTAACCAATTTTTCTTCAGCACCGATGGCCTCTTCATACATACAGTCTGCGCGCTGCGGGAAGAGCTTTGATTTTCACCAGTGCATAAAAGGAAAGATCTCGAAATTCGGTGACATGTTGTGTAGTTGACATGAATTTTGAGCGCGAAAAACACACGTTCTTCAAACTAGAAGCAAGGATGGCCGGGCCTTTTATCTAAGGATTGAGTATACCAACTTGGCAAAGCATCGCGCCAGTTACGAGGCACGTCAGCCGAGAAAGAAATAATCTTGGTAGAGGTAAGGATCGCATCTCAAGGACGCTGCTTCAAGCGTTTAATGTCAGGAAGTGAGGGTTCATATGTGCATGCCAGTGACACAACGGTGAGAAATAGGAAGCCGGAAGCTGAATACATCGATAAGGTCTTGAAAGTGAAAATGTGTTTGACTAGGCAGTTGACTGTGTGCGCATGTGTGCTTTTCTAGTAACATTTGAGGGCGATGCGTCAAATAAAGTTAGATCAAATTAGCGACCGTCGTGTTCTGTCATTCTGTGAATGAGTATTTGTTGCGCTCGAAATTCCCGCGCATAGTCTCTCGGCACGTTATGTTAACTTAAAGAAAAGCTACTTTTGAAGCGGACAAAACATGAACGGGACAGAATAAATAATTGCCACCTTAAAAAGAATCTTTCAGAAACATTAGACATTATTTATTTTGAATAGTTTGGTTTCATACTAATGCTTCAGGAAATTGTCATAAGTTTCACGAATAACTAGTTACTTGAGCTTGTAGCAGGTTGTTCAAAAGTGCGCTGCAGTATGTCAAATCTATGGCATCCCCGTAAGGCATACGCATATTTTTAAAACCTCGGGTCGAGTTAGTTGAAACACCTTGTGGACTACTGCTTTTTAGATATCTAACAAATTCATATCATCCAAGAACAGGTAAACATCAGTTCAAGTTTTACGCGTGTTTGTGTTTGTTCTTTGTCAAGTCTTCCCTGTTGTTTTAAAGAGCCTGTGCTACAAACTAGCTGGTCGGCAACTTCTAACAATAGAATGAATGTAAACTCTCACAAGCCCAATGAAAGCATAGTTTTTATTAGGAACACACTTCAGATCTTCTACATGTCGTCAATGCAAACATAGGTATGTAGATGAATACTTGTAATAAAATACAAAAAAGTTGTCGAATATCAAAACAAGCTTGATTGCGTACATTTAAGATGCAGTTCATAATAGTTTTTTCAATTAATTAACTGGGTTTAACAAAAAAGTTCTTTACCTTAAGGTGTAGCCTGCTGACAGGCAGTCGGAGTGTCGGATATTTCTGTATAAACATCTGTTCTGTGTTCTGTGTTAAGCGCTTGTGGTGTACCCTTTCTTGTCCGTGTTTTTTCGCGCTACATCTACGTTGTCATGGATGAGTAGCAACTGGCTCGCCTCTTCGTTTTGCATAGGTGCTCTATTGCCATGGTTTCGTGGCACTTAACAAAGGATGACCAGTTATCTATTTCGCTGGTCGGATCATCATTTCAACTTTCGGGTAAGAGTAGTGCGCACCGTCCGAAGACGTACCTTCCCACACAATACCATCCCCGAAGCTGTCATGGTGGCCATTCAAGTTGAGTCCATTGAGGTTACTGGTACTGGGGTCACAGATGAGGTACCACCAGGCACCACGCAAGCGCTCAGCGCAGTTGAACGCCGAGGCATCACTGTCACGATCGTAGGTTGAGAATTTCTGGCCTGAAAGCCTTTCCATAGGGTCACCTGAACAAAAAAAAGCGTGAAAGTCTCGTGAATGACAGAATTCGTTCATTCACCCAGGTCAACTCGCTGATTCACCAAAGAAAGTCTTCATCGCAAGAAATTTCTTTTATGCGAGTGTGCGTACGCGATATACATATTGTCAATGGTTTCAACTAGCAATATTCGCTCCTCAGTTGAGACTTCATTGGATTAGACACTGCCTCAGCGCAAAGTTTATAAACTCGGCAGCAGACGCGAGAAATTGGGTACTTTTCAGTGATTCACAGGCCGCTTTACGATCGCTCTCTAGTACAAACACGACAGTTATAAGTGATAGTATGACATACGAAACGCTGGAAGAGCTCACCAAAGCAAGCAAGGCGCAACTTGAGATTACATTTCAGTTGATACCTGGCCATTGCAACATTCCTAGAAACACAGCAGCCGATGAAGCGGCACGACAAGCACATCGTAAAGACGTTACTGTTCGTTTACCAATTTCGAAAAATGAAATGCGTAGTATTATAAAGGCTACAACTTTCAGAATGCGCAAAACTACTTGGTTTGGCCAAAGTACAAAAAGCTGTGATTTATATCACATCGATCCATTCATTTCATTCAAAATTACGCTAGCATTTTAATCATAACTGTTATATTCACCGATTGAGGTTAGGCACCACATACAGAAAACATTTTTTGCACAGAATTGGCAGAGCTGAATCTCCCGAATGCGAACGTAGATTTATAGATGAAGACGTGTGTCACTTTCTCATAGACTCTCCACACCATGACACGCCGATAAGCCATCTCAAATCAGATATGTTGGCATTAGACCGCAGACCGTTTAGCATGAAGAAACTTCTGGGCCCGTGGCCAATCCGAGTTTTGCAGACTCACGCTTTAAAAGCGCTAACTTGTTTCTTACAAGTCAGCGGAATCGCATAAAAGTACTAAGAAAAAACATTCTTTCATTTGCATAACACATGTACTTATTATGTACAGTATTATATGACACCCATCATATGTGTGTGCTGAAGTGAAAGACGTGTCGACTGGTTTGTACACATGAGCGAATACAACCTCATAAGGACCAGACGTGTGCTCTTCTGTTTTTGCGCTGGTTGGATCAAATATTAAGGGGGGACATTATCAGAGGCTTCATTCGTTGACTTATGAACATTTCCTTATTGTTGTGTTGTGATATGTGCATATGTGTTTTCGCATATGTGTGCTCGAGTGTTCTGTCTTTCGTGCACTGTTTCGTATGTTTTCTTTTAAGATACGTGTTCAACTTTCACTCAAGGGCTAAGGAGTAGCCGGCACCATACTTTATCTCTTTATATAACATATCAATAAAAAACATTGTCAATGGGACAAAAACATTTAGTTGAAACACACACACACACACACACACACACACACACACACACACACACACACACACACACACACACACACACGCACACACACACACACACACACGCACACACGCACACACACACACACACACACACACACACACACACACACACACACACACACACACACGCAATACGCGCGGTGTCTAGCAGTATTACTTAGTGAACGAACACACAGTGCAGAACAACAAATTGGTAATAGATCCAGTAATCAGTAAGCAAAATTTCACTAGGTCGCGTATGCGCTAACATAAGATCACTCGAAAGAGACAGCCACCTTTTATTATTTTTTTTCGTTTCAGCCGGTGTATTGCTTCTGCCTTGCCACCCTTCAACTGATTTCGGCACCAATCATGTTTTTCCTGTTTCTCCAAGATTGGAGGCACATCACCTGGTTTTGCAATGGCTCTATGGTCAGCCCACCTTTGATGATGTCGCCGAGATGACTTCAGCATGTAACGCCATTATGGTGTCATACATTTGTTACGCTATTTTGACAGCATGTGGGAACGACATCACGCGATGATGGTTTTTCGCACCACTCACGCTGAGGCCTCTGACGCATTTCGAATTTCACGCAGCGTAAAAGGCTTTTTCCCTTATAGTTAGCAAGATAAGTGAAAAAAAGGTGGAAAGTAGGACTGTTCAAAATATAGGTTTGCTAATTGTCAAGACAAGACAGGTCGTCAAGAAATCAGTCAGTTGCTCTGACGCACGTTTAAAAATGAAGCATCCAGAAGGGAGAAAAATAATTGTGAGAGGACCGCAATAATTGCGGCGCTCTCACTTTCAGTCTCCCCTAGTGATCTCTCTTTCTTTCTTTCTTTCTTTCTTTCTTTCTTTCTTTCTTTCTTTCTTTCTTTCTTTCTTTCTTTCTTTCTTTCTTTCTTTCTTTCTTTCTTTCTTTCTTTCTTTCTTTCTTTTTTTCTTTCTTTATTGTGGAGCGTGCTCGCTTCAAACTTTTTCGCCCTTCATGCGGGGATTTGCTTTCAGCCACATTCTTACCACCGTTCTGAAACTGTTACGGTGTTTGGCTCATGACCCCAAGGTCGTGGGTTGGAACCTGGCCGTGGCAGTCATCATTCGATCAAGGCGAAACGCTATAGACTCGTGGGCTGTCCGATGTCAATGTACGTTCAGAAACACAAGCTGGTCAAAGTTTCTGGAGCCCTCTATTACGATGCATAATGTAGTTTCAAGACGTGAAGTCCCCACAGTTATTACTGTTTTCATCCCCGTAGTTAAGAGCACAGCTCATGTGTTATTACAGGCAAAAACGGTGGCCCTGAATGAATAAAAGGCAACAAAAAAGGTAATATTGAAATGTAGCAATGTGAAATGGGATCACATATCAGGAAGGAAGAACTTTGCGGAAATTCAGTAGAAAACCCGTGTTCCCATAGCCACAAACGCCCCTACGGTGAAGCTGCTCAAAACATGGTTGAACGCTGGACAGAAGATGATGAAATACGTCATAGCGTTACTAGCCGAGGACAATGTTGTTACGGGGAGAATATATTTATGCTGTATATAAGCAGAGTGAATTGAGTGGCTGGCAAGATGGCAATTAAAGCGAAAGCTGTTACGTACAATGAAACTCTTCGCCTATACATCCCTTAAAAGGTGCGAAGAAAGATTCCAGGCGTTTTTTTTTTGTAGTACTGCTGATCGCGCTAACTGTGCGAGTTAATGCAAAAAGGGTTGCCAGTTTGTCACAACAATACAAAAAGGTGACACACACCTCAGCCGTTTTTGTCCCCCACCGACACATCATGGCAGCGCAGACTGTTATGACAAGGTGAGCATTCCGCATATGTGAGTTGATTGGTCTTACCTGTCATTCCCGTAAAATCTCCTATCCGTAGTTGAAACAGTTCCTCTCCACTTGCTACGATGAAAGTCTTGTAATCAAAATACGTGCTATCTTCAGTGCTGTTGCTCAATACGATTCGCAGTACCATTTTCTCGTCCCCTGACGTGAGAACGTGCAGCGCTTTGTTACCTGTGGACGAGAAAATGAGTACTTCTCAAGGTGTTTCAATATTTCGAGGTTATTAGACAATCCTACAAGAAAAAGCTTGAGAGGAAGTAGGTTAGAAATCAACTTATGTACAATGCGGACACATATAAGCTTATAAATTATCCTCAGCCACTTATTGACTCAATTTTGTCGCAAATATATAGTGTGATGATTCGTGGGCCAAGGAGCTCAATCAACAGGAAATGAGATGGGGATGAAGACAAACCTTTTATATACAACACGGAGAGGCAGCAGACTATGTCACAAAACACAATAGATCATTCGTACGCTCAAAGAATGCGTTAAAACTTCTTCGCAACAACGTAGCGTCATAATTCGGCTCACGAGTACGCCTTCGGTACCCGCGATAGTTTGCCACTGATACTACTATCGCAGTTGTGGTGGTCGTCGGGGTGAAAGGGAGTCGGCGCAGAAATCGCGTTCTAGGTGCATTTGAAGCTGAATTAACGACCAAGCACAGCAGGAGGCCACCCGCTTATCTGCAGGCTCTAGCTGTGACCACCGGAGCAGGGACCTAGCAGTCGGTCACCACCCTATATTAGGATACGGGCTGCTTGAGATGCCACCGAGCGGATTAGGAAGCTGCCCGAGCACATGAGACGTCCAAGCCGCACAGACGAATGTCTTAATAGACCACGAGTAGCCATGCTTGCTCCAGAAGATTTTAACCTCGTTATCTCGGTTGTCCCCGATAATGATGATGATGATGTTGATGATGATGATGATGGCCTATATTTAAGGCTCACACTTACTCTAGGGACTGAGTAAGTGTTTTCTCTCCAGTGATGATGACGATGATGATGATGACAATTTCCCGAAGAATGACACAACCCACCACGGGAGATAAGTCACAAGACACGTGGCAGGAGAATTTTCGAAACAAAATATGCAGGGTCCCGTAGACCGCACTGTCAGAAAAGTCGTCTTCCACTAATGATCTAGCCACGTTTGTTTTATTACTGTCTTCTGCTCACGAAAACAAGTTCTTGAGTTACACTAGAGAAAAACCTATAGCAACGGCAACCTTTCGTCTAAGACGCATGTCACAGCTAGAATCGCTACAGCACTAGAACGAATCAATGAGTTTAGTATAGTGATACAAAGCTATCGGGATATCGATAGCATTAATAGTTCTCCTTCAAGATATCGATACTGAAAATAAACTATCTGTAACATTACTATGAAGACCCTGTCAACAGTATCGATAATAATATCGGAAGTACTGTAAACGAGAATACTACCGCTACTGCTGTGCATAACGGCGCTGTTGTGGGCCGGCGATATTGTCAAATATTTCGCCTTAGCCTACTGTAACAACAATATAATCGTTTAATTTGTGAGCAATATTTTGACGTAAGAAATAAGTTAATTCCGCAGTGAAAATGCCTATGTCAATGAAAACGTTATTTTTGAAAAGTAACCATTGATATATTACTTCTGTCAAATTAAGTTTGTCTTAGTTTATGTTTGAACGAAAAACCCTAACAGTTATTACGTGAAAATATTATTTTAACACCACGAAATAGCATGTAAAATTGAAGGGTCACAGTACCGCTATATGTAACGGCTCCTTTTCCGCTACAGATTAACGGTTAAACTTAATTATGATGTGTCAGTCAAGCATTATGGAGATAGAACATACACGTATGTCATATTTCTTCGCCTTCACCCTGTCATTCGTTATGGACCACGCACTCGGGGAAGAAAGCTCATGCGGCAGTGAAATGGCGCTGTTGATTTTATACTATCGCTAGTTGGTTGATTGATTCGTGGGGTTTAACGTCCCAAAACCACTATATGAATATGAGAGACGCCGTAGTAGAGGGCTCCGGAAATTTCGACCACCTGGTGTTCTTTAACGTGCACCCAAATCTGAGTACACGGGCCTACAACATTTCCGCCCCCATCGGAAATGCAGCCGCCACAGCCGGGATTTGATCCCGCGACCTGCAGGTTAGCAGCCGAGTACCTTACCCACTAGACCACCGTGGCGCGGATACTATCGCTAGTACTACAATACAGTTCCGGCTGAACTATCGACAGTTCTACGTCGATAATGTAGCATTGCCTAAGCGGTGATAAGTTCCAGATTCCATTACCGGATGAGCATTCCCGTGCACGTAATGAAGTGTTCATATGAAAGCTATGTCCCACCTAACTCGAGCCAAGAATTTCAAAGTGAAAGGCCCTTAGGAGGTGAAATGAACCAAGCGCATACTACTCGCACTGTAGGCTGTAGGTTCTCAGGCTATTTTTTTTATTTCTCCCCATAGTAAATAATTAAATTTACCTTTTTATTTATGGGCTGGAAACCCAAAATATGAACACTGAGATGTAGAGCACTTTCAGAAACCACCGATTGAATCGTTTTCTGTACGATACGTCTAGCGCTGTTATTCTTTACGCGTAGTAAAGAAAGCCTACAGCAGCACTTTAGCAGTGCGCTCGCGGTCCATCACACGGCTTTTTTTTTCTATTTCGCAGGCTTTCCTTACAACGTTGACAAAATAACAACGCGAGAGGTACCGTACAGGAAACAATTTAGTCGGTGGTTTCTTAAAGTGCTCTACATCTCAGTGTTCACATTTTGAGTTTCCAGCCCATAATTAAGAAAACAGGTACTTAAGAATTATTAATTTTTAGCATGGGGAGAAATAAAAAATTGCCAGAGTACCTACAGGCTAGTGCGAGTATTACGCGTTTGGTTCTATTCGCCTCTAAAGTGTCTGTCATTTTCGAATTCTTGGCTCAAGTTATGTGGGACACCCTGTATATCAGTGTGGACATTCAGCCATAACTGCAGCAGCTTCTATCACAGCACAATGTACTCTTGAGTACGCTACAAGAATTGAACCGATACTACCATATGTGCAGCCACTTCAAGGTGCGATTTTACAACACAATAGAAATTGACGACGTGCTGCAGCCACTGCAAGTATAGCGTCGTTTGATAGAAGATACTATGGACATTTAACGATTGGCGCTGCAGCTGTGAATACGGCGCGAAGTGTTTGTGATAACACTGTTGATATTCAGAAGCAACTTCAGCTGGTGAAAATGCAGCAAAACGTGGTTGTTAGGACAATGTTCATGTTAAGCGGCTATATACTGCGGCTGCAGCATATACAACCTTGCGCTTCGAAGAAATGCCAGGCCTGCGCGGAAGGCACAGTACAGTCACAGTGAAAACTATAGAGAAGAGCGGCCTTTCAGAGCTTTTTCTAAACACTCATTGTGTAACTACTGGAAGCATTTGCTGGATACCCACTGGAGCATCAATAACAAATTTTTTGGGTGGTGCAATATGAAATGGGATCACATATTAAGAATTAAGTAGCGCTATAGCAGTGCGGGGCCGGCATTCGCGATGCTGTATTTCTTCATTCTCTTAAAAAGCGTCGTATCCAAAAAACACGAGCCAAGAATTTTTGCGCCTATTGTTCAAGCAGTGGCTGATAACGATGAGGAATTATAGCTGAAGTGGGTATGCGCACCACTTATTGGGGAACAAGAAAAAGCTTTGTAAGAGGTTGGAGCTTTGGACGTCCCACTCACTACGCTATTGGCATTGTGTGACGACTAGTTGTTCTTTCGCTGTTTCAAAACGCTTTATAAGTTATATTAGCGCGATTGCCTTCCCGACATCAAGCCTGCCTAAGGCAAGTTTGCCACATCGTCAAAAACACTGGTGTAGCTCCGTCCCCTATGAAGCTTGAAAAATAAAATTCTACATTAGGTGGTGTCCACATGTTTGATACGGGAACTTCGCCAGAGAAAACGTGGCTTGAAGAGAGAGGGATGTATGTACCATAGGGAAGCAGCTGTCTCCTTTGTAACAAAACTGCGACCATTGAACATGTATACTTGTTGATTGTAAGAATGCCATTTAGTTTTGGCACATTTTACAACGGAATTTAAAAAAAAAAGATTAACTTCTTACTCCACTTGGAATCCGTTTTGTGCCTTGTGATAGTACTGTGCAACATTTGGACGTTGTTTTCTTACATGGTCTTCATTCCGTTTGGCATAGTATGTTTTCGTACACTCTGATGTAAGAGTTCTATCTCTTTATGAGTGTTTTGTGGAAGCTGTCATCAAAGTACGAGGTGTGTATAAAACTACCTACTGCGTTGAAGATGTAATATCTTTGTTTGATGCGTTAGCACACATGAAGCGCAAGTCATTGTAAGATTAACTTGACCTGTAGTCAAGGAGGCAATAAAGAAAAAGAACTGGTGCGGCTCAGAGGTAGAATAATGGGCTGGCACCAAGAGTACCCGGGTGTAAATCTCACTGTGTCATTGGCGCTAGGTTTTTTTTGTACTAATTCGCGAGATGTGGTTACGGATCCCGGCGGCGGTGGTGGCGGAACTGAGCGTGACCCGAGTTTTGATCTCATAACAGTGCTGTAAAAATTGCACTTATTTGGGAACTGAAGTAGCTGCTTATACAGGTTCCTGTGTTTCAAAGTGAAGCTTTATATCTGTAGGGTTCCGTCGACTTGTGCCTCAATAACAACGTATGAACAATAGAAAGAGTCTTTTTTCGAGGGACTCTTTTTTTTTGTTACACATAATTATGTGAATTCAGCGGTAAGTTAGGCCAATTGATTCATAGCGGCTCCAACTTTTGGTTTTGTTTTTAGTGCACAACACTTATGCAATTGAAGTAAAAATTATGAGGACGAAAAACACGGCTGATCTCTCCATCAAAGAAATGGATATCACATAAAAGTGCTACGTGTCTGCTTAGACAAATTGCTTATTATGCGGTGATATGTGCGATACTGTACAGTGTCTACTTCTGTTTGACCACTACAGGATATAAAATATAGGATGTTGAAAGTTGTTTGCAGTTCAAACCTTGTGAAATTTGCAGGCCCCTACGTTGGCACATAGTGGAACCGCGCGCTTGCTCCGCCTGAAACACGCGATATTCATTAAACCGATATCGTGTGTCTC